ATTGTGCATGCTCTTGTTTCACAAATACTCAAATATTCTTTTGTGTATTTCGCATGATTTAAGGAAATAACTGTGGATAATAGCATCTTCTTACTTATGTTCACTATAAGAACTCATCATTTTTTTGGTTCTTTGAACCCTTTTGAGAAACTTTAAGATCAGAAAATTAAACTTTTTTGTGAAAAGTCGAACAGCTACTTTAGCCTTAACATTTGCTTAAAAATGACCCAAAACCAAATAAAGAATAATTTATGGGCAAATCCACGAAACAAAAATTTTTTTTTTCCAAAATTTTTCAATTTAAAGTAATTATTTCTCTCTTATGTCACATTATTAAAAAAGATTGAATGTTTTAATAAATGCAATGATGTGAATAGAAGAACATAAAAAAAAATTTGCTTCTCTATAATCGTTAATTAAAGAGAAATTTGACTTTTTGTAAATCTTCCTGAGTCACATTTTAGCGGAAAACATCTAAAAATTCAATTATCTCAAAAAATATAAGTTTTTAAACGACATTGATCAACAAGATCTGTTCCTTTCATGTTGGAGCATCATATAATTAAGCAAAATGTAGATGCTTAGTGGAAATTATCTGATAAATTAATTAATTTCTTGAAAATTTTCTTCCTGAGTCACACAAAACGCTTTGCCAACAAAATATACTAGTTCAAATTTTTTATAACCGTTAATATATTTGAATTAAAACTTTCCGTTAAATTTTTGTGACATTTTCGAGCTCAAATCTTATTCAATTTTCGATAATTAAATAAGTTTTAATTAAATGGATGTTTCCGATGCCTTTTAATGGCTTTTAAATAATATTAACTGTGCTTTAAATTAATTTTTAAGATTATTTTCAATAAAAAGGTAAACAAATAATAACGGTTTCTATTTTTCAAAAAAAATTTAACCAAGTAGAGGAATAATTACAATGCGATTTTTTGTGATTCCACAGCTTCGTGGATTTGCCCTTATAGAAACTATCCAACCCAATTTAAAAGACTTTATTCTTTCATTCGTAAAATCAATAAGGAACAAAATTTTATTATGTTCATGAAATTCCACTCGAATGGTTAAACTACAATGCCAATCACATGCTGTTCGGGTTGCTTTTTGAATGCAAAACTCCAAAAATTCCAAAGAAGAAAATATTCAATTGAGAAATTTTTTTTAAATTGACCTTTTTTGCTCTTATTCAGCGCTTGTTGGATATAGCCCGGTGAGCCTCAGGGATATAAAAATTAATTTTACTTTTGCTTCGCCCCTTTATCTCTTGAATGCTTCTCATTTGCCAACATTGAACTTTTTTCGAGTTTTTATAAATATTTTCATTACTGCAGAACTTTTCTTTTGAGGAATCGCATTAAGTGGGAAGTTAAATAATAAAGAAAAACATGAAAGAGAAAAATATTTCATTATATTATTCACCTCTCATCAGATTATCATAACTGACATTTGCACTGCATACACATACGAAAGTGGAGAAAAAAATGTTAAAAAAATAAAATTTTGTTAATCTCAGTGAGATGTGCAGGAAAAGCGACACTGCAGAGCTTTAAGGAAAAATTATGGTGAATAAGATGTAAGCAATAAACGAGAAAGAACCCATGAATTTTGTGTGAAAGATATTTTTTCGTCTGTTATATTTTCATGCTTAAGGCACATTCATAGAACTTCAACATTTCTCTCAAAAAATCCTTATTTTATTTATTTATTTTATTCTCCTTTATCCTACTTTCTACTTCCATGAACACAGCTAAGATGAAATAAAATAGACAGGAAGAGATGTGCTTTCATCCTTAAACGAAGATGCTGCGTATTCAACTTTGTAAGTATCAACATGTTTCATAACTGACATTTGAAAGCATAGAATTGAAGTGGGTGAAAATATCAACTAAATATCACCTTTTTGCGGTAAGAACATTTATTGAGGATTACTTGAGGCTGTATTTTGCTGTAACCAAGGAGTCTATGGATACGAAAATAGACACAGAATCTGTTTGTTCAAGAAATCTTATTTTCTATGGAAAGGTCTTGTTAATTATGCAGAAGGGAAGATTTCTTCTTTGTTTATTTACTAATTAGGATGATGATCGAAGTAATTTTTAGATTTACGGATTATTGATTTTAGATCTGTATCCTTGAATATCTGTAAAGGTAAGTTGAAACTCTATTTTGTTCAAATATTCATAATTCATGCTTGAAAAATCATCAAAATTCATAAAATAACATCAAAGAAACAGCGAATCTCAAAAAAGTCTACAATTATTGATTCTATAGCTGTAGCTTTTCACCTGTTGAAATAATGACTAAATTTTCCGAGAAGGATCCAGTTCATAAATAATTATTAATAACCCTTCTTGATTTCCAAAGCTTCAGGGCATTTCATGTCTAGACTAAACTATGCTTTGCCTTTAATTCAAAAGCACAGCTTTTAAACTTGATGATATTTGCACAAGCCTGCGATAGTCTATCGATTTTTTGTGTAACTTTGTGCTGTATTCAGCCTTGAGATGTCACAATATTTTACCTCATTGAATAAAATTGCATAGGAACGAGCTTTGTGGATGTTTGAAAGTCTCATCGACAAACTCTACACTGTTAAATATTTTCGATGAGAGAAACTGAAGTACTAGATTGCTTTAGAGTTTGAATTTGAATTGGCAACAGACACGTGGATTTGAGCGCTCAAAGCTCATAGTTCTTTGTGTTTAAAATTTAAAAGATTCAATTTCTTATGATAACTATGCTGTCATTTACTGTTCTTTTAAAAAATCTAACGCAATTCCCGATTGGCATACATTGAATGTCTTATACCTGCTTATATCTTTATTAGATTTTAAAAATGACAATTGAGTTTTGACTCCTTACATATCTAAATGCTGCGCTTTAGTGACTAATTCAAACTTAACTTGTTGTGTCCAAAAATATTCATCAAAGTTCTTGTTCTTGTTGATGGTTTTTAATCGAAAGTGATTAGCTCAAAAGTGTGAATTTTAACGGTAAATTAAGTGTTTTTCAAGCTGTTTAATTACTAATTTACATACTGCAAAGAAGATAATATGCAAATTTAAAGGTAGCTATACTTTATGCTGTATATATCGCGAAATATTAACGTCCAGAATTTATTCCCCTATCGTAAATTAATTTGTGTCATCGCTCATCAACATTTGGGTCTAAAAACTTTTAGGAGATACAGTCAATGAGTCAATTTTCAACGTCAATGAGTTCTGCATTGACTATATAAATTTACCTGCTTAAAGTTTTAATTCCACATTAAATTCTGAAAAATCCACAGGTATTGTTTTTAATTCATTAAACTAGCTTAAACCGCCTAATTCTCATACCTATGAAATAATTAATTAAGTGATAAAATAGAATGATATATATCATTTCCATACATCCATCAATCATCCAGAGATTCAATTCAATCTAAAAAGTTTCCATTTCGTGAGAGTAAAAGTCTCTCAAATTGTATAAAAAGAAAAATATCTCAAAAAAAACTCCCAAAAGAGAAGCAGAAAGCATAAGTAAACTTACTATAAATTAAGTTGAACTCCAAGAAAAAACAATCAGTTGTCTGTAATCAGTGAGTGCGGAGAGATAGATGGATACGAAATAGTAGCAACGTCGACAATCTGTGTTTAGTGATTTGTAAATTTATTTTAATTATTTCTGTGTTTGTGGATTGATTGGCAAGAAGAAGTGGAAATTAATTAAATATTTATAAAATTTGCAAATTAAATTTTTGCCTTCGTGCAACATTTGCAGAACAAAAAGGTCTGTAGATTGTGGATGTAAAGTCTGATCGAGCATAAAATAAATACGACTTTTTTTTGGGGGGTATAAGAAGAACATTCTTAACTGTTTCAGAGTGTTTTTCTGGTGAAAAAAGAAAGAAAGAAAGAATAAAAGTAAAACATATGCAAATGTGCAAATTTATGAAGCCGGTTTTTGACTAAAATAAGAGTTTGGCATTTATTGGTGAGCGATTTCCATTTCGTTATAATAAAAGATTCAAACAGTCACTGTGGATCTTGGAATTAAAGCGCATTCCTGAAACAGCAGATTTCAAATTTTTAAAAAGCGATTTAATTCGAATATAAAATAACCGTTAAAAATGCAAAGCTATATTTTTGTGCCCAACTCTTTAACAGTGCAGAACCTTGATGGCGACAACTTAGACAGTCATACATTGTGTCCTATAAATCTACAACTTTCAGCATACGCGCCAAAACTCAACAGTAATATTCTCATTCACAGTGATTGACTTAATAACATCGAAAATATTTTTTTATAAGGACAATAATCTTTCGTGTTATTAGGTGGAATTTGAGAATCTAGTATTTCTCATGGGAATTCTGTGTATATAAACTCTGTAATCACAACCTAAAGTTTCAGATTAAATGTGACGCAAAATCGTCAGACTCTCAGTCTAATCAAAAGAATTGTCAATTCTCAATTCCGTCAATAAATTTAGCATTGAACTTCCCGAATGACTTATTGAATTTTTCATTAGACGTGATTGGAAATCTAAATTATTTATTTTTTGTACGTAATATTTTCAAGATCAAATTTCATGTTTGAGGCTCCGTTGAGAAAATAGTGATAAATTAGTAATGGCTGGAATTTTTTGAATTTTATTTTGACAAACTTTTACTTTTCAAAAATTTAAAATTTTGAAAACTGTCAAAAATTAATTCAGTCATTTAAGTTGAAACTGATTTTGTCGAGGTCCATATCGATTTTGCATATCGATTGAAGCGTCGTTCATCAACCCTCATTGCTATTGACCTCGATCATGAAAAAAAAATCAAGATGTGTGTGAATTTTAAATTGATTTTTTATATGAATATTAACGACGATTTAATGATTTTGTTGTAAATACCAAAACACTTAGTCAATTGATGACAATCGAAACGTTTTGTGACATTTCGCTCTATAAAGATCAATTTCTAATATATTCTTCATTCTCATCTCGTCTAGAAGTCATCAAAATGCTGCAAGTTCTCAAATATTTTGTATTTTTTGTACTTATCATTAACAACTCGGTTAGTGCGTATCCAAAAGATAGCGGCGATGAATCTCAAGAAATCGGCAAACCAGCTGTTTATGACAACTATCGACTACCAACGTCAGTCACTCCTGAAAACTATAAAGTTGAGATTTTTACGCATCTGAATGATTCCGAAGGATTTACTTTTCGTGGAATCGTCGAAATCACTGTAAGTCTATCTTATTATGCGACGTTCAGTCCCATTTATGTGTAACATACAACAACTTTATTTTCTACCTTACCCATGTCATGTTTTAGTCTTGTCTGCTGTCGACTGCCTTCAATTTATTAATAATTCAATCTCATTACATATTTATTTAATTTCTAATGCATTTCTCAATTTTTTATGGACTTGTGCCATTTTTGTCACATGCTGCTGTATGCTTTACCTTACCTTCGTCGTATGATTTGCAAATTCTCAAAAATTAATTATACATTTTTTTTAAATTAAATTGTAAATCGATGCCTGACATTTGTGGATACAAATTTAAATGATTTGCTGGCTTATGAACGATATAAATGTCAGATAATTTAAAGTGAGGTCAGTTTTTCACCACAAATGAAACCGTTAATTTATACCCTAATTTTATTATATGGAGCAGAGGTAATTTCGTTTATTTATGTATTATTAACTTTGTTTATCTGTTATTGATGCATTTATTGGATTTTGAAGATATTAATTGACCTTTTGGGTTTTTAGATTATTTATCTATTTTTTGAAACCTATGTAAGATTATAATTTTAACGGAATTTTCATTTTTGAATTACTTAACGGTTAATTTGATTTTGAATATTTTTAAATCAAAAGATGCAAAAAGTGATGAAAATTTCAAATGTCAAAAGTGCGTTAAAAATGCAAAACTTTCGAAGACATTCAAAAAGTAGTTTAAATGCGCAGTTGACTATCAATTCAACTACAATTCTATTTCCATGTCTCCATTGCATAAACAAAAAAAAAAAAAAAAAAAAAAAAAAAAAAAAAAAAAAAAAAAAAAAAAAAAAAAAAAAAAAAAAAAAAAAAAAAAACCTTTACCTATTCAGATCAATTGTGATCCAGAGGTGCGCTAGGGCGATTCGCAGCTAATGAGAGTTTAACGAGTGAGGATGCGCCAAACCACTGCACTCAAACCTAGACCTACAATTTATAGTGGGATCCGAACCACTCCTTTGATGACATTTCTGTCTGTAGCCTACAAAGGAAGGCTGTGAGCCTCATTTCCAGTACATATGATTCGAAAAAGAACAAGTGAAAAATTTCCCATACCCAGTCTCGAACCCATGATCGCTGTGTCGGTATTGCAATAATTAGGTACCGAAGTACTAAACCATTCCGCCACCGAGCCACTTCAGCTCACATAAACAATATGCGACTATAAATCGAAAGTGAGCCATTAAACTGTGCTATTTCCATCTATAACAGCATCAGCCATGTGACTAATAATGACTAAATGAAAAACGAGTTTATAACATTTACTACAATCCGGCAACGATAAAAATAACATCATGTATTTATGCATAAAAAAAACTAGTTATTATGCAATTCATGTAATTGAATTATCTCTTCTAATTCCTCTATCTCTCTCATTATAGCTAAATGTAAATGAGTTTTGTGATAACATTACACTGCACGCGAAGAACTTAACAATTGACACGAAGAAAATTGTATTGACTGAGATCTCGGAAAATGAGGCTTTGAAAATAAGAAATGTTGAATTAATGCCAAAGCATGATTTCCTGATTATTTATCCACAAAAGATTCTCTCAAAGTTTAGGAAATATATTGTGAAAATTCCATTTGAAGGCTCTCTAGACACGGATTTAGTTGGATATTACAGAAGCTCTTATTATGATAAGGAATTCAAGAAACGAGTGTAAGTATCAAATTTTTGATGAACCCACAGCAATAATTGTTAATGGAACCATCACATGTCTAATTACTATAGTAATGATCGATCATTATTCTACTAATTCCTTTCCATGTAGATGGCTATCAGTTACACAATTTGAGGCAACGCACGCACGTGAAGCTTTTCCGTGTTTTGACGAGCCTGAAATGAAAGCAACATTTGATATTTCACTCGCACATCATAAAATGTATAGTGCCTTGAGTAACATGCCGCTGAAGGAGACAAAGGCTGTAGATAGCATTCAAGACTTTGTAATGGATACATTTGAGACATCTGTTAAAATGAGTACATATTTGGTCGCGTACTGTGTTTCGGACTTTGAGTATAAGGAAGTCAGCATGAAGGACGATGTCACGTTTAGAATTTATGCAAGACGAGAGGCTATGAATCAAGTAGATTATGCTGCTGATGTCGGTCCAAAAGTCTTGAAATTCTATGAAGATTACTTCCAAATTAAATTTCCACTTCCCAAAATTGACATGATTGCTGTGCCTGACTTTTCAGCTGGTGCTATGGAAAATTGGGGATTAATTACTTACCGTGAAACTGCTCTTTTGTATCAAGCTAATGCATCGACATTATCAGCTAAACATCGTGTTGCAGAAGTCATTGCTCATGAACTTGCGCATCAATGGTTTGGTAATTTAGTTACTATGCGTTGGTGGACAGACTTGTGGCTTAATGAAGGCTTTGCTACTTATGTTGCTAGTCTTGGTGTGGCACATTTACATCCTGAATGGAAGTCATTTGATGAAGAATCTGTAGATAATACATTAGACATCTTTAAGGTTGATGCATTAAAGTCAAGTCATCCAGTTTCAGTCACAATTGGACATCCTAATCAAATCTCACAAATTTTCGATGCTATAAGTTATTCAAAAGGTTCCGTCGTCATTCGAATGTGCCATAAATTTTTGGGCGAAAAAGGCTTCCGTTTTGGCGTATCAAATTACCTTAAAAAGCACCAATATGCAAATACCTTACAAGATGATTTATGGGACTCGTTAACAGAAAGTTCGCATGAGGAACAGTCACTTTCAAGATCACTTTCCGTTAAAGACATTATGGATTCATGGACTCTACAAGTTGGCTATCCAGTCATTGAAGTTGTACGTGATTATGATACTAATTCAGCGACTCTAACTCAATCACGATATGTTTCCGATCGATATACACCGAGAAGTGAATTAAACTCATGCTGGTGGATTCCATTGACTTATACTGACAGTTATAGGAAGAATTTTACGAGTGCTGCTGTAAGTAAATATTTTTCACAATAATTCTATTGTTGATGTGCTTTTAAGGTTGACTGAACTTGATTATTTTCATTGACAACTGATTGCTTATATTAATAATAAGCTGTTTAGATTTTTTCGTTTGGTTCTAAAGTCCATTTTAATGTTCTTCAAAGTTTAACGGTTTTTTTGAAATTCGAATTTTTTGAAAACATGAAATTCAATTTCCAAAAAGCCGGTACGTTTCAAATTTTAAAAAACCGTTGAAACTTCAATAATTTTTTGTAATTTATTTAATTAACCAGGCACAAGATTGGATGACGTGTAACAAAGATAAGGAGGGAATCGAAAAGAAAATTGACAACCTCCCTGATGAGAATAATTGGGTAATTTTCAATATTCAACTTGCTGGTCTTTACAAAGTCAAATATGATGAACAAAACTACAAATTACTCGTTGAGACATTAAATAGCGAGGATTACAATATAATTAATGTTATCAATAGAGCTCAATTAATTGATGATGCTATGGATTTAGCGTGGGTCGGTCGTCAAGATTATGGAATCGCGCTGGATATGATTAACTATTTGAAAAGAGAAAGTGAATATATTCCATGGAAGGCTGCATTAGATAATCTCAGGATTGTCAATAGACTCTTATTGAGATCTCCACTTTATGGAGTCTTTAAGGCATACATGCGTCACATTCTTAAGCCAATTTATGCAAAACTTGGTGGAATCAGCACTGTTCCAGATTCGTCTGAACTTCATATTGTTAAACATCAAGCTATGATTTGTGGATGGTAATTAATCAACATTTTTTGCATCTATTCAAGAGTATTTTTGTAACAGAAATATATTTTTTGAATTTTGTCGTTGTCAATTTTTAAACATTTTTTGACAGTTAAATTTCAACTTGCATTAATGCTCTTTCCCTGTCCATAAATCTCAACCTATATATTAATTCATGTCTTTTCTGTTCAGGTCTTGTAAATTAGATGTCGGAGATTGTATAAAACGATCTGTTGAGTATTTCAATACATGGATGGTGGAAACTGAACCCGATCACATTAATCCGTTAGTATAAAATTGACTGTGACTCATAATTTTCTTGATTAACATTCATGCTTGATTTTTTCCACACTCATTTAGAATTCCATTGAATTTGAGACCATGTATCTATTGTACAGCTGTTCGTAATGGTAACGAGAAGCAATGGAAGTTCTTGTGGCAACGTTATGTTAATAGTAATGTTGGTGCTGAAAAGTCTATGATTATATCAGCACTCTCATGCGCTAAAGAACAATGGATATTAAGCCGTTACTTGGAATGGTCGTTGAATTCAACATTGGTACGCAAGCAGGATGCAAGCATTGTTTTTGGTGGAGTTGCTCGTGATGAGGTCGGATTCCATTTGGCTAGAAACTTCTTCTTTGAACGCATTGATGACATTTACTCGACGTAAGTTCAAAGCTTCTATTAATTTAGATTTTAACTTATTTTCATCTCATTTCCATCCAGTTTGTTTCCAGACACATCGCGTCTCACACGCTACATAAAGCCATTAGCCGAACAAATGTCAACACAGAAAGAATTGACTGATCTTAAAGATTTGGTAGCAAAGAAGGCAAAAGAATTTGAAAAATCAACACAAGGCGTTAAGCAAGCATTAGAAGTCGTCGAATTGAATAATCAATGGAAATTGAACAATTACTTCTCGTTAGCAAGAAATCTTAATCGAATGATTGATCCTGAATCGGACATGATTACAGAAGAATCCCTCAGTGACGAATTAACGACTACTGAAAGTATTTTAGTTTGATTAATTGACTTATCCTCGTGTAGTCACGCATTACATGTATTTAGTTTAAATTAAATCATTTTGTAATTTTTTTCGTATGAAAGAGATAAGTCAGAGATAACTGATATTGATTATACATTGATGTCAACACTGGATGATTAATTAAGATCAATAAATTTTTCATAAAAATTTTAGTGGAAATTTAAACGATTTGTGTCACTAGGTTGGTTTTTGATAGACTTTAGCTTTAGATCTTAGATTTATAACGGCTAGAAAATATTTAAAATTTCAAAACCATACAAATTTCAGCTTAAAACCATACAAATTATTTGGAAAACATTTGAAAGGTTTTCTAAAATCTCATTTTGATGTTCAAGAACCTTATAAATGTTTTGTTGGCTGCTTGAAAACCATACAAATTCAACCTGAAATTCAAAAAATGACAGTTACAAATTCTACAAAATGATTCTAATTTTTTCATTTTTTTTTTATTATTTTAGTTGATTTTTAATAGATTTTTTTCAGATGCAGTTTTTAATCACATTTTTCTCTTTATTATTATTATTTTTTTTATTTTCTACAATTTAAGAGATTTCCCTTTCATTTTCTTTTCTTCATTTAATGACTCGTTTTTCTTACATTATAATTAATGTTTTGAGGAGATGAGGATGTGAGGATGTGCGATAAGCACACATAATCTGTGCCTATCATCAGGAGCTATCACTGTCTATTGAATAAAATTAGAATATTTTATATCTACTCCTCGCATGTATAGAATGTTAAATAAGATCCTGTATGCTCTAAATTTTAAAACAAAAAACTTTAATAATGCTGATTTTTTTACGTATGCAGTTACATACTGTTTAAGAATGTAAAAATAACTTTTTTTCTCTCATTTGTTAAAATAATCGAAAAAAAAAACTTTCATGTTTCGGCTTTAAGCGCTTACAAGAGGCTGATATTTAAGCAAAGGCTGTTAATTGGTTTTTTTATATAAGTTTGTAAAGTTTCTAAATGCATTTGTTACTTAATATGGAAATTTTTTTATATATACGACTTCTAAAGTTCCATCGTTGATTTATTTTCACTTTCAGGATGTGCTCGTGTGGTCTTGAGATTGATGTGACGCTACCGTACGAATTATCGTATACCAACAGAATCAACAACGAGGAGAGAACGAGAGGATTGATAGTTTTGGAGGTCGAATGTGAGCTCGGGGATTTCCTTGAAAATTTCCGAGATTTTGTATAATTTCAACATGTTTATTACTTTATATGAGGCGATTTAATAAGAATTGAAACTAATTTCAATCAGTTTAGCTTAATTGGAAAATAAATATTGCAATATATTCGCAGAACCACTGATCCAAAATTCCCACTTTTTACGATCTTATGGACCAAGCTTAATTTAGATTAGACATATTAAGATAAATATTTGCTAATAAAATCCTTGAATCAGTCTTAATGGATGGCAAGAAAGCTGAAGAAAGAATTCTCTATTTCTAAGTTGATTAACTGACGTTATGCTTCATCAGCATTAAAAGCTTTAAACAACAAACCGAAACTTCTCAGATCCTTCAATCCCAAAACTCACTCAACAACACCTCCATATTTAAAGAATAGTCGAACAATAGTCACTCTTAACACATATTTAACAAATTTTTAGGCCTTTTGGATCCACTTTCATCACAAATAAGTCTCAAATTCAAATAATAACCGTCATCACATCATCACAAGACCAAATAAGCACACTCTTTTTGTTAATACTTTTTCTTCTCACCTTTTTCATGTCAAATATATACGTTTACTATGCATGTACTCATCATCATCATCATATATACGGAATCTAGTCAGAGATAATTCTTCATGATTTTTTTAATTAAATATTTACTAAACACATCACTTTGTTGATGCCCTAAGCATTATTATCAATATTACTTTGTTATTTTTCTTCATTAAATATATATTTATAAGGTAATAATGTTTTATTTACCATATAGAAGTTTTCTATCACTATATTCACACAGAGGTGTGTTTAGGGGGTATGGTGGGTCTCAGGTGCAATTTCTTGGATATACACTAGTCATAGTCTCTATTTTGTCTTTGCTAGAATCAGGGAGAATATATTCAAGAAACTGACCCCAAAGCTCATAGTCGACTTCAATTGCCTCAACTTCGAGCTCTGATTAGCTCTAGACGGGAATTGCTCATAATTAACATCCATCCCCAAAAGATCTTCATGTCCACACATCTCCAGTGCTTAATATTCATAAAAAAGAGTTACAATGCGTGATGTTGGTGTGAATAAAGTAGTCTCGTACATCAAGAGTTTGTTTCTTACTCGTAATCAGAATTTTTAAAAGTTTTCGCATCATAACGTGCATAAAATAGTAAATAAGGTGTAATCATGACCTTTTGATTCTTCGATAATGCATCCTCAAATTCACGCTGTGTCATTATTTTGATTTTATCGTCGTCACACATATACCATACTTTTTGATTTAGGTCATTTAGCGATGGTTTCGGTTCATATTCACTAGCATCGTCATTTGAATTTGTTGATGTGCCATTCTCACTTTGTAGTCGCTCACCATTAATATTATTGTTATTGTGATAATTCTCGACAATATTTGTAAAATCTTTCACATAAATGCCACAACAATTTGCACTATTGCACACCGTTTTTGGTGCTTTATGTGACGAGCTATTTGCATTATTTGTTCCATTCACTGTTGTTCCATTTGTTGCACTTATTTTATCGGAATTTAAATTCAACTTTTCAATACCGTTCATCATTATTTTACTTAGTCCGTTTATAGGCTTTATACTTTTACTCATGTCACCACTACTCGATGCTTTATTACGTCCATAAATTAATTTCTTCATTAAACCCGAATTCTTCTCGCCGCTCGCACCTGAATTCGACAGCGTTGAGTGTGACTTTATTTTCGTCCCATTTGATAACGATAATCTACGTTTATCATGTACACAACTTACATATTCATTATAAATGTCTAGAGAACATGTGTATGCGATGTAGTGTCCAACAGACATTGTTGCACCGACATGTGTTATTACACTATAAAGTTTATAGATATGAAGTTTGTCCTCATCGCGCTTTTTATAGCATTTATTGCAGAAACATTTCAATATAAAGGGCGTTGGACTATAACTGCTTATTTTCTCCATTCCACCAGAGAATCCTAAAAATAATAATCCATACAATTTTATAATTAATTAAACCGCCACAGTTGTATTATGACTTACGTTTCATATGAAGAATTAGAAGGCGAGGAAGGACTTCAAATGATATTGAACGAATAGCTTCAGTATAGCCGCAACATTTATCACATCTATAATGATTCTCAACACGAAAATATTCTTTCGTGATGCACGAATTCTGAAATAAAGTGATGAAAAATTGAAAATTTGATAAGTCAATGAATGCATGCGAGGTGTAATATAAGCAGTAGTTCAATTTTGGATATTGTATTCTTTTTCTGATGTCTTTGAGATTATTTAACTTGGTTTTCAAAAAAAAAATTAACGGATCATCAGAATTTAAAAATAACGTTCTTTTAAAATTCGAATTTTAACGGTTTTCATAAATTTAAATTTTAAGGAAATTTTCAAATTTTAGCAGCTTTTTTTGGCTTTCCAATTTTAAAGGAAATCAATCAATTTAAAGAGCATACTCACTTGAAAAAATATCTGCGGATCTAAGGGCTGACTGTTTTCATTTACCAAAGGTATAGAAATATCAATCATAGTCTCTTTCTGTTCTGTCACTGACTCACATGTTAGACATTTAGTTGTTGATAATGTGATGCCTTCAAAGTCCTCAGTAAAAAAATCTAAACCCAATCGTTTAATGGTCTCATCAATTTTCTCCTTTTCATCTAGTCCATTACTATCGCACGGCTCATTCGTTATGCTATGAAGACTACTTTTAACATTATTAACTTCTCCAGATTCCTCGATTGATGACATTTCCGAATTAATCTCTTTCATTGGTGATCCATTTTTAGACTTTAATGTCTCTTTTCTCTTAATCTTTCTCGAAAATATTGACTTAATTGATTGTGTTGAGTTTTGTATTGAGTTCGGTGGTGACGTTAATTCGGCATTTTCATTACTTGTTGAATTCGATTGTTGCAAAAGTATCTCGGGATTTTCCTTAATGGTTTTCGATAGGGCTGAACACGTTTCTCTTATACTGTCTAATATGCACATTAAAAGCTCATGTGCATCTTGTTGTTGATTTCCCTCAAATATTGAACTTACATCTTGTATAGATTGTAAAAATGTTCCAGCATGAAATGAATCACTCGTATCGATTGTTTCATTTCGATGAAGATTTTGATACAGCTCATGAAGCTTTTCAGTTACAACTTGTCGATTATTCTTCAGCAAACCGGGCTCATTAAATGCTACAGAATTGTTTGTTCCACTCAGTGATGCCAAGTCCTTTGAACTCCAACTACGTCCACTCTGACCCTGAATTATTATTGTTGAGAGAAACGACAGCATTAATTTTATTATTTTTTAATTTTATACATGTGCAATAAAATGTATTGATTTCATGAAACATAAAAATAACTTAATAATACTCTGTATATTGCATTCCATTACAATGGGGAATACTGTATAATTCTCAATATGAGTCTGTGCATTTTTAAAACGAAAAGTTCGTTAAATTTGACAAAATTCAAATTTTTTGAGCAGGCAGAATGTTTTTGCATCTTTTTGTCATCTCAGAAAATTCAAATTTATTTTTTACAGCTACAAAAATTCAAAAAATGACTGAATGAAATGTTACAAAAGATGCAAAAATTTAAAAAACGACCGTTATAAAAACTTAACGAGTCAAAAACTCTAGTTAACATTCACGTGTATTCCGGGAATAAATTCTAATTGCTATGCAGAAGGCGGTTATGTAAACCGATACATTTTATTTTCGCCATCAATTAAATTGTTCAACTCACCTGTAAACCACCCACATTTCGTCCCAACGATGAACTTTTCAATTTATTTTGTCCAATTTTCTGATACACATAATGCATATCATCACACAAATGATGAAGTTTATGCAAAAAGTATGGTGCAAATCGTAGCGTATAGATGACAGAATTTAAATAACATGAATTTCCTATATTGCATAAAGTTGCAATTGAGTTATTACTGCCACCTAAATATCTTTGTTGATAGAATGCATTTATCATATTTTCCTCATCCTCCTCGTTCTTATTAATATAATCATTATCTGTCTTAATCGAGGATGATCTGTAGTCATACATTTTGTCACAATCAGCTATGTCAGCGTCTGATCTGACTCTCTTAATCCTTTGGTCACTTGATGCTGTTGTTGTTATTCTACGTTTTTGGCCTTGACTCTGTTTTACAACATTAACTCTTTTAGTGCTGTTCTCTTTTTCCGTTGCCGTAGCCGTTTTCTTTACAAATTTCTGCTTTATAAGTTTACTCCAAAAATGTCTGTCAACTTTAAAGAATCTCAATTCTTCAGCGTCTTGCGGTGACAATAAAGTGACAGACTGTTTATCACGTTCAAGAGAATGTTTTGCTTTTTGTTTGTAGTTTCTATTATCAGTCAAGCTTGAGAGATGATGTCTGTTGCTTGATATAATATCGGATACTGGCATTTTTTGCGCATCTAAAAATAGAAAAAAAAACTGTTCAGCATATGATGAATTAATTAAGAAATGAAGAGCAAGCACAAAAAAATCATCTTCTTTATATTCCAATAAATCGAACATTATACAATTCAAGAATTGCCACGAGATTTTCCATCAATTTCATACATTTCCAAAAGTGAAACATTTTCAATTTCTTCTCTATGTCTTGTCTGTCTCATTTCAATTATGCGAGTGGAATGAAAAAAAAAAGTTGTAAATTCTTAAATTCCGATTTTCCTGATACCTTTTATGATATTATTCTATAGTCATTGGAATTAATGAATGTGAAATTTAAATGTTAAAATATTTCCGTCCACCTTTAAATGATATTCGTACGATTTTTTGACAATTATGTTAATTAGAAGTGAAAAAAAAAACTTTTTAATCACGCTTTTAGAAAATTGATTTTTTCACATCTTCTCACTTACGTTTTTCAATTTAATTTACATCCAGTATCGAAATAGAACACGACAGAGTTACTCATTCGCTCAAGTAACTGATGTTAATTGTTTTATTTTGTAAAAAAAATTAAAACATAAAATTTCACTCTATTTATTCTAGGGTCCAATTTACTAAGTTCGACTGCTTTTGGGCACTGCTTTATGGAGACGGATGGCTTAATGTAAACATAACAAACATCCAGTGAACCGCTAAAGCTTAACAACTTATTTATGTCTGTTAAACATCTATTTCATCACTGGATGTTCTTATAAGCATTTAACAGCACTATTTTGATATTCACCAACAATATTTAAAAGTCAACCGACTTTTTGTTACCTCCCAAGTAGCTTTATTTCCATCTACAGTTCATTTTTTGTAACTAGAAATTCTCCAAACTGATTCATTTGTTTATCACTGCGCAGTTAAATCTTTTATTAATTAAGAATAGTCAAATATCATCACATCTTTGTCCTTAAGTGTCACTGAACCATCAATATTCCGTAAAATCACTTAATTATGCTTTTATTGTTTTGATTGGAAATTCCACAAATGATTTTTTATTTGAAATTATATTACCTGACTATTTTTGAAGACTTACCATCATCTTCTGAGCATATACAACTCAGTTCATCACTTTCATCCATAATTCCTGTACAGCAAAAGCAATAGAAGCACATTAATTAATTATTTTCACAGAAAATTCACGAAACAATAATATTTACAAATTTTTGAAAGTGTTAGTGAAGTTTTGTAAACATTCAAAAATTTTACACTTCAAATATCAACTTACATGCTTTAACTCCCTTCTCAAATTACAAAGTGACATCCTCTAGCACTTTGCGTGTCTAGAATAAAGAAAAAATGAGTAATAAGCTCACAATTTATGAATCATGAAATTGTTTAAATGTGTAGGTTTGTTTATAAAATAATTCAAAAAATGTCCGTTATTTTTTCAAACATTAATGCCATGCTTACCGTTGAAAACCACTGAAGCATAAATCAGCACTTAATCTCATCTGTAGAGCCACCCATTCTCCAGAACATAAGTCTACAAACTTCAAAACTCAATTGTTTATATTGAAAATTTTCTAACTTTCTTAATTGATTTGTAGGTAAAGAGCAGCCTAGTTAAAGCATAAAATAATCCATAAAGCATAAACCATAAGTATTTATTAATTACAAACAATTAGACAAGTGAAAAAGTTGTAAAACGTAACAAAAATGGCTTTAAAAGTTTCTTCAACGCCATCAGAGATGAACATAAGTGTACCCAATATCATAAAAATTGAAAAGCTGTTGCATGACACAGCATATAGTGAATTAATAGAATTAAGTTCAAATTTCAATACGAGATTACGTGTGGAAAGGAAGTTGCGAATGCCATTTCTTGATCCACAAACAGGCGTCGCACAAAATCATTCAAATTTATTTATGAAAAAGGCACAGAGGATGCCTGGAATGAGAGATGGTCAAATTTATTCATATCCATCGCTTAGATGGAGAAAGGCGAAACGTCAATACTTGACAAATGCTAACTCATATCCATGGAATTATCGTCCATTTGGAAGGTTTCGAGAAAATGAGTTTGAGGCAATTTCCAATACCGAGCACTTCCCAACAGTTACAGAAGATTCATCTTCGTTCAGACCAGGTAAGAAAAGCTTCAATTGTCAATTACAAACTGATTTATTAAATCTACAATCAACAGGAATCACAGACGACAGTCACAGTAAGGATTCGCATAAAGATGATGGCTCAAAAGGTTCTGGATGGTATTACGATGAGATGGACATGCATGAGATTGACAATTTTGAAGATCCAGAAGAGGATTCAGATGATGACTTTATGGAGCCAAGAAGTGGACGAAAAAAGAGAGCATCAGGTCGTGGACCAGGTTCAGCTCGTCGTTCGAGGGTTGAAAGAGATCCAGATTCACGTCGTGGTCGAGGTCGTGGACGGGGAAAGAAAGCAACAAATCCATCAGCAGCCATTGACAACAATTCAAATAGTAGTGATAAGTTCAGTGAGTTTTCTAAACGACGCACAAATCCACCACCTCAAATCACGACAATCCATAATCCGAATCCAAATGATATTGAAGCTATTCCAGAGCATAAAATTCCAACGACAGAACGAGGCAAGACTCATTTTGAGGAGGAGAGAAGCTTAATCAGCACAACAGCTTCAACGTCATCGTCAGTTTTGCCGACAAGTATGGGCTTTATAAATAAGCCACAACCAGGCGAGAAGAATGACAAGCCAAGAGCATCTCCATCGCCATATTGTGATTTCTGTTTAGGAGATACGAAGGAGAATAAGAAGACAGGCTTTCCAGAAGAATTGGTTTCATGTTCCGACTGTGGACGAAGTGGACATCCAACATGCTTGCAATTCACTGAAAACATGATTATTTCCGTGAAAAAATATCGATGGCAATGTATCGAATGTAAATGTTGTAGCATTTGTGGTACGAGTGAGAATGACGAGACTTTATTGTTCTGTGACAGTTGTGATGCTGGTGAGTTATGCCTTAGTATAATAATTTTATTCTATTGCTCATGATGATTGTTTCATTTTAGGTTTTCACATGTATTGTCTATCGCCTCCTCTGACACAACCACCTGAAGGAAGCTGGGACTGCAAATCTTGCATTGAAACGTTTTACAAAAACAAATAAGTTTGATACTAAAACTTATCTCAGATATTTAATTAGACATTATGACTATCCTCTCCGAAATTTACTGATCAAGTCAAGCGTGGAACGTTTGGTATCTCCAAAACATACTCACTTGAAGATTTTAAACTGTGTTTTAGGCTGAATATCATGTTTATTTAATTTTTCACTGATTAGAAGTGGCTTTAAAAGAGTGAGCAAGCCGTTTGACATGCTTTTCTCCTTCCAAATCAGCACAGATAATCCAGAAATTGTAAATGTTTAGTTTTAATATGTTTAACAAATTTTCAAAATTTAACGGTTGAACCTCATTGAACTGCCGCTTGACTTGACTGTAAACCTTGAAATATTTTTGAGTGTGCGTGTATACGAAGAGAAATTTCTTTCGCGAGCCAATCAACTAAACTTAATCTATTTGACAGTATTTGATGACATTTAGGAAATGAAGAAGTAATCAGCAACACAAAAACCTATTCAATGGTTCTAAATTGAATTTTTATTATATATAGTATTTTTTATATAATTTAATTTTTTTGATTTATAGTTAATATTAAAAATGACATTTCATCTTCTTTGTTGCTTACACGATTATAATTATAAAATTGGGTACAGTAAACTTACTTAAGACTTAAGGACATAAAATTAGACTTTGATTAAATGAAAAATAAAATATGCAAAAAATTTAAAAAGGAAATAAATTTGAACATTTAATTGAGTTCAACTATCAGAGATGATTGACAATCGAATAGCAAATTTCTGTGAATTTGGTATTAAAATAGAAATTCTACTGCTCTTTGAGCCTTAGAACATTTTTTTTGGAACACATATAGCCAAACAAAAGGGGGTTGGAAAATTTTGTCAAATTTTAACGGTTTTGTTCGATTTGAAAATTATTTTTGAGAACTATACAATTTTTTTCTCAAAACCTTACAAAAGCCAAATTTGCCATTAAATTAGAAATCATACAACAGTTACAATTTTAAAAACAATACAAATGTTGAGATAAAAGCATTTGTAAGGTTTTAAAAAGAATAATTTGTGCGGTTCTCAAGCACACTTAAAATTGACGATATCTACATTTGGTCGTGACAGTGTCTGTCCTCTATAAATTAATAAATTGACCCAAAAAATTTGACAAAATTCTCCAATTAAGAAAGTTTTAAACGCCTAAAAGTATGAAAAATTTGGTATTCAATCATCAATTCCGAGGATTATAAACAAACATACATGACATTAATTTTGGGAGAATACAATAAATAGTAATTGATTACAAAAATATATAATAATACACATAATAACAAATAAAAAAAAGGGAAATAAAATCTATTCGAAAAAGAATCAAAGCTTAGTTCAAAAACTTTCGATATGCAAAGCTATCAGCACTGTTGTCATTTAATTTTAAGTCACCTTGGACTGAATCGAATGATGGTGGTTCGATATCTAGCGGTTCTGGTGCTCTTTTATTGTTCTTTGATGACCTCGTTGATGTTCCTCCTTTCTTACTTCGGCTACTTCGACTGCTTGATGCTCCCGATCGTCCACCACTGCCACTTGATCGACTCTTTTTCGGTATACTAGTAGCTTCCTCAGATCCACCAAAATTATCTTTTGTTTTTCGACTAGCTCCTTTCCTCACTGTCCCCTTTTTCTTTCTCTTATATCCATTAATGTTATAGTCAAAATCTGAATCTGGCTGCTCCTCTGACACGGCATCGTTATCATTCATATCATCATAATACCATTCTTTTGGAACTTCTTGACTACTATCTTTTGAGTCTGTATCAGCACCAGTCATTGAATTTGATTCATCAATTAATGCTTGAAAATCACTAGCCTCTCCATCAGCAGTAGCAGTAGTAATTGAATTTGTTGTCGCAGGTTGTGAATTACTATTTGAATTTATACTTGAAACTGGATTTGGAGGAATTAATGATGTTACCATAGACGTCGTTGTCGTTGTCGGGCAATTATCATTAGCACGAAATCGAAAAAATGGTCGACTTGAAAGCTTCAATGAATTACTTTTATTTCTCCACCTTAACGATGGGTATGAATAGATTTGACCATCGCGCATTCCTGGCATTCGCTGTGTCCTTTTCATATAAAGATTTGAATGTTTTTGTGCTACGCCTGTTTGTGGATCAAGAAATGGCAATCGTAACTTCCTCTCCACACATAATCGTGTATTAAAATTTGCACTAAACTCTATCAATTCACTATATGCCGAGTCATTTAACAATTTTTCAATTTTTATGATATTTGGCATATTTACATTTAAGTCGGGCGTGGAGGAAATTTTTAAAGCCATCCTTTAAAAATATATCCTCGCCTAAAAATTCACACGAAATTGATGAAAACGTTAAATTTTTATATCCTACTATATTAAATATAGGCTGAAAAATCTTATCAAATTTCTTTTCAAAACCTCTCAAATGTTCTCTCAACCGTTTTCAAAATTGCATAAAGCAAAGTGAAAAATTTTGATTTTAAATTTTTAAAATGCGTTACGTGCTCAGATGCACTTCCGAGTAAACTGTTGATATTTCATAAGAATTGAGTCATGCAAATATTTTGTTTTCTCGAGAAATGCACTTTATTTCATGTGAATCTCCTCGCATCTTATATCCTCAAAATATCTTTTTCATGTCAATCAATCTATTAAAAATTAATTAATTTATTTTCTTGATAGTTCTTATGCTTACTTAATCAAACGAAACGGATAAAAAGTAATCGACATTATAGTTTGTCTGTCATATTCTAATTTCTAACATTTTACTGATCATCATGCTTGCTATATGATGGGCTTGCTGGTGAATAAGAACTAGATGGTGAGTAAACAGGTTGATTATTCTCCTCATAGACAGGTGATGATGGTGAATATCTAGAACCTGGCGAATAAGTTGGAGAATAAGCAGCACCGCCAGGAGAACTTGGATAATTTGGTGATACTGGCGAATAGAAAGTCTGTGGACTTGTCGGTGTATATTGTGGAGAAGCACAATGCGATGGACTCGTGGGAGAATAACTTGGAGAGCTGTGGATCAACAAAAATTCATTAATTTACAGTTATAAACAAAAATTACTAAGACTTACTTTGGAGAATATTTTGTCGACGACGGAGAATAGCTTGGTGAACTTGGTGAATAATGCGTTGGATATTGAGGAGAACTTGGGCTGTATGAAGGTGTTGTAGGAGTATAATTCGGTGATGAGGGACTGTATGAAGGTGTTGGAATCGGTGATCGATTATAGCTTGGAGAAGACTAAAGAAAATATGTAAATTTATTTGATTTTCTATACTCCACAATTAAAATATACTTACAGGTGAATAAGATGGACTTGTTGGGCTATAAGAAGGCGATGTAGGGCTGTAAGATGGACTCGTCGGCGAATAAGGACTCGTTGGAGAGTATGAAGGAGCTGTATAGCTTGGGCTTGCCTATTAAGTAAAAAAAAATTAATTTCCATAATTATTCATAGCTTTAATTGAATATTTACCTGATATTTTGGACTCGTTGGTGAGTAAGATGGTGACGAAGGCGAATAAGACGAGTTTGGAGAGTATAACGGGGATGTTGGATTGTAATTTGGAGATGTCGGTGAATAGTGAGGAGATGTAGGGCTGTAAATAGTCGAAGTTGGACTATATGAAGGACTTGTTGGGCTATAAGATGGAGATGCAGAAGCCAAATAATTAGGACTTGATGGCGAATATGATGGAGATTGAGCAGGAGAGCTTTGATTGAAATATGGTGACATTCCACCGCCTGGACTTCCTGGACTGCCTGGATTCGGTGACCAACTTGGTGACATTCCAGCTTCAGATTGAGCACTTGGTGAGAAACTTGGACCTCCTGGTGTCATTCCACTTTGACCACTTCCTGGAGACCATTCTGCCCCGTACGCAGGAGTACCACTTTGCCATGGAGTCATAGCTGGGCTCATTGAAGGACTTGCTTGTCCTGGTCCAAAGAACATTCCAGTTCCCATACTTGAATGTGGAATTTCCATTCCATCTTTACATTTTTCAGCATCAAGTAAAAGATCAAAACATCCAGTTCCCATACGTGGTAATTGACCCATAATAATATTCTCAGAGACACCTCTCATTGGATCTACTTCAGCATGACTTGCTGCATCCATCAAAACATCAACAGTTTCCTCAAAAGAACATCTCATAAGTGCACCAGTATCTTGTCGATTGATACCGTGACGTGTAATAGCCATCAAATGTCCTTTAGCTGTCATGACGTCACACAACAAAGCCAAATGACGATAATTTACGTAAAGACCGTAGAACTGCAATACAGCATTCATTTCTTTCTCAACAGACTTACGAACAGCTTCAATACCTAATACACTAAATATTTCACAAATGTCGTTACTGTATGTTCTCACTGGATCTACATCACGTTCACTAAGAACTTTCATTAATGATGTACCATCAGTTTCAAGCAGCCATTCTCCAATAGCTTTAAATTCACCATTTTCAGTAATAACGATTCTCTTCTTTGAATCCGTTTGTGGCAAATGCATGTATACTTTCCCAATAGCTTCAATACCTTGTAAGGTCAATTCTGACAGCATATTAGACTCAATACATCTAAGGAACATATCTTCTTCCATTTTCTCCATATCCTCTTCACCATCCATTCCAAATTTATTATCGCCTTTATTCATAATTCGAATACGCAATACCAATTTGTCAGAATTATCGTCATTGAAAATACAATTTAAATCATCACCAAATCCAGCATTAATCTTTTCAGCAATCTGTTCCATAGTCAATTTCTTATCTGTCATACGCTTACGATCGAGTTCAATACGCAAAAGCCATGGAGAAATTTTTGTTGGATCAAAATCAGGCATTTCATAATAAATGTTTACAAACTCTTGATCTTCTTGAATGACTGTCCTTTGTGGATCTGGATCATAATAGATAGCTGTATTTGCTGTTACTTTACGTAATGTTGTATGTTCTAATCGACACAAAACATTCTTTGCCTTTTCTGCATCTCGAGCAGCACCACCAGTTAAAAAGACAGTTAGAGATGGAGCTTTAGGTTTCTTTGAAATATTAATAATTTCCTTTAAACGTGGTACACCCAATGTTACGTTCTTTGACGATACTCCAGCAAAATGGAAAGTATTGAGCTGTAAATGGACAATAATGAATTATTAAAATTATTTTCGAATTTAACGGATTTTTAAAATTTGAATAATTTAACGGTTTCCAAAAATTTTTGAAAACCGTTATGACATTCAAAATTTATATTTCCGTTGTAAATTATCAAGCCTCACCGTCATCTGAGTAGCAGGTTCTCCAAGTGACTGAGCAGCTAAAGCTCCAACCATCTCACCAGGATTAGCTTGAGCTTGTTGGAAACGAGTTTCAATTTCTCCAATCAACCACTCAAAAGCTTCTGTATTAAGTCTGTGGTCTTCAGCTACAAGTTTTGTACATAATGTCGACCGAACAAGACATTGGAACAATAATGTTGCATTCTCATTAGCCTGTTTTGACAGCCTATCATTTCCAGCCACAATATTACATTTGCCAAGCAAGTCACGAACGCCTTTAATCACATGAATTGGATTTAAGTCAGTCGGTGCACGTTTATTGATGTGGAAAATCTTCTGGACATTCCAAATCATTCTGTTAAGATTACACGGCAATACGACTTTATTTTCACCACTTGGGAAAATTTCTCTTAATGTCTGTCGATCCTTCATTAATTGTTCATATTCACTTTCCAATTCTTGAATAACTAAGCCAGATTCTGTAAATTGTTTCACAACATCTTCTGAGAATAGCTTTTTCATGTGTCGTTCATTTGAGACATCAAATTTGAATTTCTTTTCGAAAACTTTATTTGATAATTTGACAGTTGGAAGTGACTGAAACTCGACAGTTTCACCACAAAGACCATCCTCGCCGTAACGCAATTGAATAAGTTGTCCAACAGAATTTCTTACAGTTCCATCATAATGAACCATTACAGACTCCATAGCTTTGATCAAACGACGCTGAATATATCCAGTTTCAGCTGTTTTTACAGCAGTATCAATAAGACCTTCACGACCTCCCATAGCATGGAAATAAAATTCTGAAGGAGTAAGTCCAGCAAGGTATGAATTCTCGACGAAACCACGAGATTCAGGACCGTAATCGTCTTTAATGAAATGGGGCAAGGTTCGTTTACGAAAACCAAAAGGAATTCGTTTACCTTCAACGTTTTGTTGTCCGACACAAGCAATAACCTGTGAGATATTAATATTTGAACCTTTTGAACCGGAAACGACCATAGCTTTAAGATTATTATATTCAGTAAGCGATTTCTTAGCAGATCCACCAGTTTTGTCACGAGCATCGTTCAAAATACGATTTACTTGATTCTCGAAAGTCTGACGCAATGTATTACCGGGTGTTGGTTCCAATTCCATATTGTGAGCTTTCTGAATAACTCCTATGACATCCTCTTTGGCTTTACGAATTGTCTTCTGAATTTCTTGATATGTTTGAGGATCAGCAATTGTGTCACCAATTCCAATACTATGACCTTCCAAAAGCAACCAATTATTAACGACAGTCTGAATATTACCATAGAATCTTCCAGCAATTTCATGTCCAAGTTCCAAAAAGATAATATGCAATAAGGAACCAGCAGATGCTCCAAGTGTCTTTTTACATAAAATTCCCATTAACAATTCTCCATGTTCTACCATAACTTTTGTATCTCCTAATGAAATCCACTTATATGGACCATCATCTTCATCATCAGGATGTGTTGAATGCGTACGAATCAAATTTACATTACCAGGAATAATCAATGAGAAAATTTGCTTTCCTGTCCATAAAGGTTTTGGTTTTATAATTGCTGGTTGTGGCATTTTACCGTCCCAAGTTGGCAAAAACATTAAAATATTCATCATTTGTTCTTTGTCAACAAAAACATCACGTTTTGTCATTTTACGAACAGCTGTAAGTGTATCCTGTACAATACCCATAACAGGCTTATTAGCTTGAGGTGTGATAATCTGTCTAGGTGTAATGTGAATGTTTTCAACTTCAGCACGAGTTTCCATCGATTGTGGAACATGCAAGTTCATTTCGTCACCATCAAAATCAGCATTGTAAGGAGACGTACAACTCAAATTCATTCGAAAAGTAGACCAAGGTAGAACCTTGACTCTGTGACCCATCATACTCATTTTGTGCAAAGTTGGTTGACGATTGAAAATGACTAAATCATCATCTCTTAAATGACGTTCGACTTTATATCCGCATTGAAGATGTAAATCACTTGGTTTTGGATGGAAACGTAAATCAATTCTTTCTCCATTGTCTCGAATAATATATTTAGCTCCAGGATATTGTGAATTACCACGTCTAACAAGATCCTGCATTCGATCAATGTTAAATGGCGTGACAAGTTCTGGGAAAGTTAAATTTTGTGCAATTGAACGTGGAACTCCGACTTGATCTATACGTAAATTTGGATCTGGTGTAATGACAGTACGTGCTGAGAAATCGACACGTTTTCCCATCAAATTACCACGAATACGTCCTTCTTTACCCTTCAAACGTGCTTTAATAGCTTTCAATGGTTTTCCTGATTTCTGCATAGCTCTAGGCATTCCAGGCATGTCATTGTCTACAAATGTAGCAACATGGAACTGAAGCATCTTAATATTTTCATTAATTACATGAGCAGCAGCACCAGAAGATTCATTCTTCTTTAATTCATTATTTGCTTTAATAACATCAGCAAGTTTATGTGTCAAATCGTCCTGATTCTTTGTTGCTCCAAACATAACAACTGATGGACGTACTGCTAATGGTGGAACTGCCATAACACTAACAATCATCCAATCAGGACGAGCGAATTTTGGATCCATACCAAGAATATAACATTCTTCGTCTGTAATGTGTCTAAAAATTTCCAAAACTCGTTCAGCAGTCAATGGAATCTTCTTTTCTTGTGTTTCTTCATTTAAATGCTTCCATTCTGCTGATAATTCAAGACCAGATCTACGAATTGATGGCTGATGATTACCACAACCTCCATGTCCCATTTTCTTATTAGGATCCATTGGTTGTGGCTGTCCATCTTTTGTTAAATCCATATCTTCACCACCCTCACAAATATTCTTGCCTTTACATAAATCATAGACATAAGCTAATCTCTTTCTTGGCTGTCCCTTTGATTTTATAATAACTTCCTTGATTTTTGGATTGTGTGGACTAACGAGAAGCTTTGAGCAGTAGAAACAGACGCATCGTAGGATTTTAATTGATTTTGTTAAGAATCCAACATGAAATACAGGCTTCGCTAAGTCGATGTGACCAAAATGTCCAGGACATTCTGTTAAATTTCCAGCACAAGTTTGGCATCTTGAATTTCTGTCAATAACACCTTGTCTTGGATCCATAAGACCTCCTAATTTAGGTCTTCCTCCTTCCATTGTTTCGGGAAATAGAATTCCACCTTCTGTGACTGACATTCGACGCTATAAAAAAAATTATTCATTTCTGGATTGTACTGGATGTTTATATATTACTTACTATTTCATCAGGTGACAGAATGCCGAATTGCACTCTTTTAACAGTGCGTATGGGCGCTTTTGAGTCATTAGACATTTTGAATGTTTTCCTTTTGTTGTCGATAAGTTTATTATTATGCGAGGAACAATTGATTAGAGTATCAAAAATTTATGATACTTTCTAATATGTCCAAAGCATGAAAATTTTTATTTTTCAATTTTTGTCGTAATCTCAATGTTTTTTGTACTTCCTTTATATTATCCTTCTGCAATGGATGTTAAATTTCATTAATACACTATTTTAAGACATTAAAAGTTAAGATTTACCACAAAAAATTAATAAAATTTGATATTTAATCTTTCTTGACGCTGATTCTTTAAAGATTGTTCAAAACATCTCAACATCATCGAATTTATGCGGGAAAATTTCGAAATTCAAAAAACATTTGAAAACTTCTATTCGAAATCTATTGTAAAGCTTTTTCAAATAAACACAATGTTTTCCAATTTTCTTATTGATTTACTCTATTTCAAATACTATGATTCATAGTTTAATGATGTTAATTGTTTAAACATCAAAACAGCATCGAAATATTGTTAAAAATCTTAAAATTAAAAGCTATAAAAATAACGGATACAATAATTTCAAATCAACTTCGAATTGTTTGTATATAAAACAACGTGCAAAGGAATTTAATTTATATCACGATTTTCTACGTTAATTATGGGACATAAAAGGAAGCAAGTTCAAGAACCAAATAATTCAGAGGAGTTTCTAGCTAAGAAACATATCAAAACGACTAATCTTAATCCGGATGAGAAGAAATTAATTGTAGTTTTAAGTCAAGCGCAATTGGAAACTGTTAAGGTAGGTTTAAGTCTGATATGTGCCTCTAAATCCCTTCATATCATTATGATTCCTTTATTCAACAGGTTGGAAGCACATTTGAGTTATTAAATTGCGATGATCACATGCATATAATGAAAAAACACAATCGTGATCCAGGAACTTGTAGGCCCGATATTACTCATCAATCACTTTTGATGCTAATGGACAGTCCTCTTAATGTAAGCTAATCATTATTCAAATTAGTTTAACTTATAAGTTATTTGTATTTCGTATATTCACAGAGAGCTGGATTACTACAAGTTTACATACATACAGCAAAGAATGTATTAATCGAAATTAATCCACAAACAAGAATTCCTAGAACTTTTAAGAGATTTGCAGGATTGATGGTGCAGTTATTACACAAATTTTCAGTAAAAGCAAATGAAAATTCCACAAAGTTGCTTCATGTTATCAAGAATCCAATAACTGATCACCTTCCCGTCGGCTGTAAGAAAATAGCAATGACATTCAGTTCAAAGATGGTTAAGAATTGTAAAGAACTAGTTCCAACAGAGGGAATCCAGAATGTCGTATTAGTTGTTGGCGCGTTTGCTCATGGACATCTCAATTTAGACTACGTTGAGGACGCAATTTCAGTCAGTAACTATCCATTATCAGCAGCACTAACATGTGCAAAATTATGCAGTGCATTTGAAGAAGTTTGGAAGGTTGAAGACATGAAAATAGAACAATAAAAGTCACTTTTACTCTCAAAAATTGCCGTCAATAAATTTCAATTTCACTCTGAATAGATTATTACACATCTCCATCATCTTGTTCGTACCTATACACTTTTTCGTGGATCATAAAAGAGAATGAATATGCACAGAAAGAAAGAAAGGTGAGAAAAAGTATCGTCGAAGATGAAAGTGATAAATATCTATTCAAGCTTAATGTCTGCATAATTTCCTTTTGATTTATTTATTTAAAGAAAGATTTTCCCAAAAAATGTCTCATAGCTCTTGTATGCTGATTTGTATATTTAAATAGTATTGGATGTAGACAGATAAGATTTCTAGGGTCGCGTTATGAATGTTTTTTGGGTAATGAATATTCATTCCAATTAAAAAACCGGATCACGTCTTGGAATTTTATTAAGAAAGAAACATTGGCCAAGTATTTCATATTTTATAGAGTTATCAAGGTCTGAGACACTTATATACCTAAGCTAATTGAGTCATCAAGTCTTAGTGGTATAAAGGAATAATTCAGGAAATTCCACTTATTGTTGGCTGTAAATTGATGAAATTCTAATTGAATATGTTAAATTGAGAAGAAGGATTTTGTAAGGTATCATCATAAATTATCTGATTAAGGATTTCTTGAACAATCGTAAACATTTTAAAGTTTAAACGTATTTTTGAATTTCAAACTTTTTGCGTCTTTTTCGCTTCATAAAAATTATTCAAATCTTAAAAACTCGTTAAATTTTAAATTTTTAAAAGTCGCTAGACAATAATGAAAAAACAATAATAATTAAAGAGCTCAAAATCTAAGAATGGAATTAAGACTTCAATGAACAAACAAGCTCACTGATTCATAAAACAAAAGAATTTCGCAGCACGTTCTTCAGTTTTTACGGATTATTTAAATAATCTCCGATCATTAACATTTGATAGCATTTAATAAAGATTTACAATCAAAACTTTGCACGAGCAGCAAAAAAAAAAATTTAAAAGCACCTCGAAAGAAGCTCATAATAGATACTACAAAGAAAATATTAGCATGACATTTAATAAAAAGACCACCAAGTTAATTAAATATTCTTGTAACGTATCAATGTCACTAGAACTTCTTTCGATATTGTTGTGGTTTCCAAAATGAAATCACTTTTAAGCAGAAATACGCACAACTTATTTATGACGACGGGATAGAGTCTGTTGAAATTATACGCATGAAATAACCTTTCAACAAATTAACACAATCTCTTCGATTGCTTGCAGCATTGTCATATCGCATGTTCATGTAATCATCACAATAATAGCAATTTCAACTCGATTATAGAGAGATACAGACAAGAAAGAGATGATAAATTTTAAAGTTGTGTAACAAATTGTTAATAATTTTAATTCTGCATATCTAGTTGAAGTAAAAGTAAGTGTCAACTAAACAACAATGTAAAGCCACTCTTCCTATATAGTAAACATAAATTATCTTCTTTCTTTTCCATTTCATTGAGAAGCATCAATCATCTCACTTACGAGTGTTTAATTATATCAGAGATAACAAGTTGATATAAAGACAGAGATGAGATTTTGGTATTGATCAGTACCTGATATGTCAGATTTAATCAACTTATGAAAATATTACTGGATTCAGTTGAAAGAGCTGAATTCAGTCAACTCAGTAGATAGTGATGAATTCAGCTAAAATGTCTGAGTTGAGATAATCCAGTAGAAAAGGGCTAATTCAAATAATCCAGTGACTAATGCTGAATTCAGATAACTTAGCAAAAAGAGCTGGATTCATCCAATTTTGGAGAAAATTGTTGAATTCAAACAGATTGAAGCTTTTGACCTACAATCCATCCAGGAACGTTTCTGATTAAGCATCCGGTTGACAACTCTGATGAAAAAGCTAGTGGAAATAAGTAATAAGAAGAAGTCAGCGAAAATAGTAAAGAAGAGACGAGAGTAAAAGAGATTCTTAACATAACATTGCAGTTTTGTTGCTTCTTGCATATACACATGCCGCACAATATTTTTCGTATTTTCATTTACCATACGTAGATGTGTGCGGCTGAAGAAATTCACAACCAAAACAAAAAAATTTCATTTCACATTCATATTTTAGTCAGTCTTTTACGAAACGTGTTGCGAGTAAGATGTTAAAAAATTAAATAATTTTATCATTTCGGGATCAAATTTTACTGGAATTGAAAAATAAGTTTTAAAAATTAATTAAGCCACATTAAGAAGTTTATAGAATAATTGAGAATTAGAAGAGATTGTAAAGTGTTGAAACTTAATTTTTAAAAAACGTTTCAAAAAAAGAAAGAAAAAAAAAGCTGAAAGTTTTTTCTCTTCAATTTTGTGAAAGTGCCTCGCCGTTGCTGATTTTTTTAATTTCATTTATTTTAAAGAAAAAAATTTCCCAACCATTTCTCGTTATTGCATTTAAAAAATTTACAATTATTTTTAAATAAGGTAATTTTGTGTTTTAAATGAAATTTTTTATGAAGTAATTATCGATAGCGATAAGGAGGAAAGAGTTGGCTAGGAATCATATGACAATGAAAGCTGTATGATTTTTTTTAAAGCAACTTTCTAAAAAGTGTTTTGTGCAAAGTGTTTGGATTGATTTTCAATTGAAATATAGACACTTTTGAGTGTGTGATTCCATGTATTGTGTAATTGAAGCTTTGTATAATTTGGGTATGATAATGTGCATTTAGACATTTGTAATCTAATGATATGCTTAATGAACAGGTGAAAAATATGGTAATTCTTATATTTTGGACTGATCTCGCTTCGTTTGCCACTACTAAATCATAGCAGATCAAAAACATTCACTATCCAAAAAGGATTAGGATAACTCAATCTTTTTAGAACTCTTGCATATTCTTCTATTAACATCACATTTTAAATGTATCAATCTAGAGTATTCTAAGGATAACCTAATTCCCAATTTCATTATACTAGGTACTATGATAGTTTGAATTGTCATATAGTTGCTCAGATCTTCTATTTTGTTCCTACGGATCACACTTGTAGTTAAAACTTACTTTTCTGCAAAATAATATTATAAACGATTCCTTATTATTTTCATGACAATTATTATAATAGCTTGACTATGAATAAAATTTTCTGCATACCCTTTCGGTCATTGCATCTTGACTGCATCTTCATGGTCGTTAAATGTCCCATGATCATCGAATGTAGTTCGCATCTTGTTGTATAACTGATAAAATGACAGGATTTGTTGTATTAATAATCGACAAGCATTTAATTTTAATTACAAAATGCAATTCCAATATTTACTTATCAAAATTATTCTTCATACTGCTTCATACTCTCACCCCAAAAGCAATAAGGACAAGTAAATACTTGAAGTTGAGGTGTTCATTGAAACACAAACATTTCGAAACTGCAAATTTCCAAGTGGCTCAAACAACTACAATTTAATCATTCAACTGAGCATATGCGTTGATTCCAAAAGTAGCCAACTACATATAAAATGAACAGCAAAGTTCATTGATGGACACATGAGGCAAAGCTGCTTTAGTTTTATTTTTCAAATTATGATTAATGCAATGTGTGTGCATTCATGATATAATATCGTTACAAAATCAAGAAAATTCAAGACTTCAACAACAACAAATAATAACAAAATTTATAATTACTGCAATTTTATTTTGTTCAGTTGTGTGTTTTGAAAGTTCCCCATTTTGGAGTCGATTTCAGTGTGATTTCATTTAAGAGACATGAAGATTGGCGAATAATGACAATTTTTGCACTGAAAACTATTTTTGTAAGCTGTGAGAGTGACAGTATGGATATATTGTGAAATGGAAGAAAGTCATTTCCCATAAATAATATTGCTGTTTTCTGTTGAATCGTAATGTGTACATTTTTGAAGAAAGATAAGTGTAGGAATCCATCAATGAAGTTGGTTTTTGAGTATCATTGATCCTCTTTTATTTAAGCAGTAGTCCATTAAACAAGATTTAACCTATCAAACGGTTTTAGAATTAGATTTAAAATTGAAGATATATCCAATTGAGCTCCTTTCTGGGGACTTTTTTAATCAATTGGAACAAATGCAACATTATACTAGTCCAAATCTGGCTTATAACAGCTCATCTCTCAAGAAGCATGGATGAGTACCAATATATTAAATTGCTAATAAATAATTAATAACTCTAATACACGGATCTATTTAATATTACCTAAAAGTTGCATAAAATTCAACAAAATTATAAACATATTCCATAATAAACATTGAACAATCAAAATCAACACTTCCTACTGCAAAATAAACTCTACAAACAATCATCTTCCAAAAAAGCTAACCTGACTCATTTTTCCAAATTTTTTCCCACTGTTAAATGACAATGCTTCCGACTTTACATTAAAAAAATCATGCTCACTTAATAGCAAATCAATCATATCATGTTTTTACTTAAGTCAACAGCTCATGAGAAGCTTTCTTCGAAATACAAACATGAATGATTCGAAATTTTTACGTTACGTAAAGCGGATCGTGAAGATGTTTGCGTCACTTTGATTGTTATTGACCACAATAAACCTTAAAAAGTTCCGTTTTATTGGTAAATTTGGAAAAAGAGACTTTCTAGGAAAAAAAAAAATAATTTATTGATTGAATTTTGCAGAAGGAAAGAAGATCGAATTTCAAAATTTTTGATTTTTTAACCTTCCTAGAATTTCGGTCTGAATTGATTGAGCTAATTAAGCTACAGAACGATATTATATGGATGCTAAGAATGAAATGAAATCAAGATTCATTAAAATGTCACAAACTCATGTTAACATTGTCTAAAATGTAAAGCTTCAATTTTCCCTGACCTGATAAGCATTGCCAAAACAATCATGATCCAGTTTTTAATTGTCACACTGAAAATAATTATGGCGATAATGTTTAAATATTAATTTTCAATTAAAACATTTTGAAGGGGTTTATTCATGATGTCTGACTTGTTCTTCATCATGAGACTTTAATCTGAACAGTGCTTTACAACTTTTGATCAAAGGTATCCTTAATATTGTCTCGGTAAGCGTAGCATTATTGTCGTCATTTCTGAACGACCCATTTAAACAGAAAGCTTATAACTCAATTATTGAAATAAGAGGAAAAAAAACTAAATTGTAGGCGAATAATTTTAGCTGATCGCGTTTATGTTCACATGATATAGAGATTAATGTACTTCTGCAATTTCATGAAAATTAGACCATGCATTCAAAGTATGAATTTCTTCAGATCACGTGTAGAAACTCTTTATTTTTATTTTTTTGGTAGTAAAGTTACACATTGTTTCGAAGCATTTATGCTCCAACTGTGAAAATTGGCAACATAACAAAAAATCATGTAATGCAAGCCATGCGATTTTTAAACCGCATAAAGAACATAAAAATGAGACCAAGAGGAGACATAACATTATGAGTTCTTAACAAAAATTACTTTCTGGTCGCATTGTACATTGTCGAAATGGAAATTTTCATTAAGGAGAGTGAATCAGTTCACATTGTCTGCTTTGTCTCGTTTCAATTCATTCCGGATCTTTTCTTTCTTTCTTCTCTTTCCTCTTCATAGTGAAATTTGTTTGCATGATGATGACGCATTGCACCTTTACCGGATTGTTTCATGTTTTTTACTCACCTCGTTTTTCGTACGTTTTCAAATGACATCAATTCATGAATACATTTGTATGTGGGAAAGTCCAATTAATTGTTACAAGGATCTTGAACTTCATCTGAAATTTTTCAAAGTTAATGAGTCTAAGGAAGAGAAACTCTTCATTTATGTATGTAGGATGTCTAAAGAATCTTCATTTATCGCTGATATGTAGGCACTTTCAATAAATTTAATAAAGATAACTTTCTATTCATGACATCTTCTCACTTGTTAATGATCTTCGTAAATTATCATGGTAAATCCTTCTTGGTGAAGATTTGTTTAATGACTGACGATGTGCTGTGTTTATCATCTGTTGACGGTCTTTAAATCATCTGTTGGGCTTCAAGTAGTGATTCCGGATTTATTTTTGTTTGAAATGGAAGTGTTTTAAACTCACATGTTGATTGTTATTGACATTTTAGATGAATTATGAAATAAGATTGTTATCTGTTTGTTCTCTTGATTTAAAAATTAATATTTTGGAACTGATAAATCATTTTAAAGAGATTTGAGAATACACAAGCTAGCAATCACTGCTTAACATTATGTAAACAAAGCCAAAGATCGAAATCGACCATTTTTTAGATCAAACTGACCCGACTTAAATTGAATTGACTTCAAAGTAATTTAACTTGATTCAACTTTAATTGTCTTTGAACCCTGACTGGAATTTTACAAATCTGTGTTGTTTCTAATCTACTGAACTCTTAGTAAAAGTCAAGATCAAACTTAGATTTCTGTGCAGAACATTTCATAATTTTGATCTAAACTTGAATATTTCATCATTTAATGCTACTCTTCATACTACAAATGAATTATTTACCAAATTAAATTATTGTCATTGTAAAATAGAACCAAAAATTCACATTATCAACTCAAATTTTTATGAAAACATTTTATATGATTCTATCCACATTTTATGCCATCATCCATAAATTAAAATACATAAAAATTCTTTAAAGCAATATATTCATGCGAATTACCCTTTATATGATTCATATGCGATAAATTTCAATTAAAAAGAGAATTATCATTAAGGTCATAGACAAATGCAGACCTTGGATGAATTACCTAGCTAACCATGCCTCACACTTATACACTGTGTTGTTTTTATTTTCGGCATAATATTGTTATACTTTATTTGCAGGTGAAAAGCTCCTCAAGATCAGAGGAAGTTAGTCAAACAAATGAATCGTCGATGAGTGTTAAACTTATAAGTTATTGTGTGTCTATGTGTGTGAATCATATGAGCTTTAAGTAATCAAGATATTAAGAGTAACCAAAACAAAAGCTATAATTATAAAAAAAATTCGTGTAATTACTTAGTAATTAAATGTTTCATAACAATGAAACGGCAAATAGAATTAATCCGTTATGGAGCACACAAATCATTAATTAAATCATCATCTGTGTTAATAGTTCTATTAATAATACTTCAATTTGTTAATTCTACAACAATACACGAGGAGTCAGATGATGTCAGGCGACATAACGATGCAAATGGTAAGTTTCATCTTTCTCTCTTATTTTCTTTTCTGTTGCTTTCTTGATACCATTAATTTTTATGTGCTGTCGCATTGCAACATTATAAAAGCATGTAAAAGCGAAAGTTTCTCATTTCCTGTTCATATTCATGCGACGATATAATAGAAAAAAATGTTAATTCTTTTGTATTGTTATGTAAATTGAAGAACCTATGAAGAGCTGTCTGTTGTGGCTATTTTAGAATTCTTATTGACCATATTTTTATGAGCAGACCGGTTTGTTGTGATTTATTTATTGTTAATTCTACTCAACAAAAATCTTCGTTTCTATTTTTCAAGGTCGATAAAAATTTATTTTAATAAAAATATTTTAAATTTGGGCTGTTCTTAAATGTTGTCATTGGAAAATTGAATTTTTAGACTCGTGTAATCATTTCTGACTGTCAAAACGTCATATTATGGGTTTTAGGTTGACAACTTAGTATAAATCAACCTTCTATCCAAAGGATCTCCACTTCGTTATTAGACGTCATAAATAAACGACCCTCATGGGATTACTCATCTTCATTTTCATTATCCACGTTAAGGCCGTTAGTGTTAACTACTGAAATATTTAACTACTGATTTCACCAGTCTGAAAGTTCCGTTCATGTCCATACATGAAAATGTGATTTTAACTTAAGTTTTATTTTTATTTCTGCTTTGTTACTACTTACTCTATTAATTTTCATTAGAGTGGAAAAATTCAGATTTTTTTTTTCGCTAGTTTTTAAATGGAAATTTTATGCAGACTTAATTTATGATAAGTAGCATGCTGAATTGATTTTTTTGTGGGATAATTCGCAAAATTGAAATAATTTCATTATTGATGGCTGCAATTTTGGTGGAATTTGGTTGATATAAATTTTATTTACACTTGTAAAGTTTCATTTAAACCTGATCCTTTAAATTGCATTTAAATCTCAAACTCAGCACCTCGTAAACATCCTTACTATTTGATTAATGTCAAGTTACAATTTCCTATGCTGTATACTCTCCTAAGGCTTCAAAACTAAACTATTAAGCCAGGATTAGATTTTCTAATGTTAGAAAGTAGCAATCAAAATTTATAATTTCAATAGAAAGTAACCAGCGGCAGTAACAATCAGAATTGCTTAAATTTGCCCTAGATTGTAATTAACATGAAAATTAATTCGGCTCAAGGGCTTGCCGCCTTAATTAATACCTTTCAAAGGAACTGCAACTGCTTCATGATTGAAAAATATACAAAGAATTTCAGCGCGTTGGTTGGAACAAAAATATGTAAAATTGCAAAAAAAGCATTAAAATATTCCAATAATTTCGATCGATTTCCAAATTCCAGTCAAAATGCCTTTTTGGGGTTGTTAATAAATGATGTATACTCAAATTGCATGTTCAAAGTTCTTGTGTCATAAATCATCCTGTAAATCTTGTTTGTAATTAATTTTCAAAATGCATAGCATTCAAGTGCTTAAAATGTTCTTGTTTGAATTGAAGTTGGACGTCAAAATTGCTCAATCCCTAAAATAATTGCCCAATTAAAAGGATGCAGACAGAATCGAAGATATTTCAATTGTTTTCGAAAACATTCTTTGATCCAGAACTGGTAGTTAAGTGTCATTAATCACCAGTTCAACCTGTTTGATTCTACAGGAATTATTCTAATGGTTTATAGCGGTAACTTATTTAAATCTCCAGACGCACTTCCATAACTCAATTAAGATTGTATAAAATTACGATTAAAATTCAACAGAACTTAAAAAGTTCTTCTTGTTGCTTTTGTGACTTTCTCTTATTAAATTTATGCATTTAATTTAAAAATGAGCATTAACCGCTCTGCATTAATGAATACATTATCAATTATGCTTGATACAAAAATTCTGTTGAATATGAGCACAAAACTATTGCGTAAAATTACATAAATTGTGAATAATTCTTCTTTTCATGTAGCGAGCATAAATGTAATAATTAATTGTGTATATGAGCATCAGCTAAGCATTCATTATCAAGCAATTATCCAAGTCCAAAAATAAAAGCGAAAATGATGATCAGCGAGAGATCGGCAAATGAAATCGAAAACGACTCGATAGCAATAAACTCTTAATGTCTTACGTGAAGTAAATAAATGCACACTGTATATATGCTATATTTATCTTACTTTTACCATTTCATTTTATATGTCAGTCGGTCAATATTTATTGCTACGAAACGGAACAAAATAGAAAAGAAGAAACTGAAAGAAGAAAAGAATGGAAGAAAGAAAACGAAGGTGGAATCACGCCGAAGTTAATTTTGCTTTCTATCGGAACTAGTTGCGGTCGGCTATGCTTCATTCATAGAATCGTAAATTTTTATTCAATGATGCATGCGTTAATGTCTATTTTGATTTTCGGATATCTTTTGTGATACGGAAGAAGCTTACAGGTGGATGTTTAATTATTGGTTCCGTGATTATGACTTTCGAGACCTTTGGCACTTAATTAGCAATTTTAAGAGTGCTTGTTCATAAATAAGCTCAAAAAGCCTTAGTATAGCCTAAGTCTAACTTAGACTTCAATAGAGTCTAGACAAATCCCATTTTGACTATGGCTTTCCTTATTACCAGGATGCCATGCAGTCAAACCTAAACAACAACAAAATTCAGCATTTTTAATGACTCATAAAATTTTTTTATTTACTTCTATTGCAGAACTTACATTTTGTCAGCAGCTTCGAAACTTCGAGTCACGACGATCACGTGATTACAAAGACAAAGGCTCACGAATTCACGTGAGGGTACCGAGATGTAATCGTATAGGTGACTTCGAGCCAATTCAATGCTCAAATGAAATAGATAATACTCATTGCTTCTGTGTGGATGAATATGGAATTGAAATTCCGGGTACACGTGCTGAGACGGAAGATCAAGTGAATTGTAAAAAGCCAGAAGATGACTGCCCAGCCGCCTCATGCCGGATGTTTTGTCCCAGTGGTTTTGCACGCAATCAAACAAGTGGTTGCCCAATATGCAAGTGTTTTGATGCATGTAGCGATGTAAAATGTCCCAATGGACATGAATGTGAGCCAATTGAAGTGAAATGTAAAAATGAGCCGTGTCCGCCTATTCCGACATGCAGACGAGCACGAAGCTTGAGTGATTTTTGCCCAACGGGCTCTCCACTATCAATAGCTGGAACGGTTCGACCATTTTTGTGTGGTAACAATCCCGGTAAGTAAATTTTCATCGTAGCTAATGTGATTATGGACTTTTTTTGAGTGACTTCATGAGATTTACTAAATAGGATTGTCATGGAACATAATTGGATCCAATTGCCCACTGTTGCATTAATTAGATTAAAATTCTTGTGTAATATTGGAATTATATTTTTAATTTATGTACATAGGAAAGCCACAATGTCCACCAATTTATAAGTGTATGGTACAGACAGGAAATGATTATGGTGTTTGTTGTCCAGCATCATTAAAATATGAAAAACCAGGAACATGTCCAAATTCAATGGATTTCATTTCAACACAAGCACATGGCGTTCTTTGTGGATCTTCATGCTCACATGATCTCGAATGTCCACATGTACAGAAATGCTGTGAATCAGCAAAGTGTGGCAAAACATGTCAAACTCCTAAAGATTCAACCTTTTGTCATCAAGCAAAACTTCAGTCAGAGATTCTCGCAATTTCAAGAAATGAAGGTCAAGGATATACACCACAATGTGATTCAAAGAATGGACAGTTTAAGACAAAGCAATGTTCAAATAATGGATTAGTATGTTGGTGTGTAAATCCTGAAAATGGCAACAAAATCAAAGGGACAATCGGTTCTGCAAAGACCGTACAATGTGATAATATAGAAAATCTTCTAATTCGATCCGGTGCTCGAAGCATGGATGGAAATAATCAATGTGACCAAAACATTTGTGCTGCAGTATGCCAATATGGCTTCAAGACAGATCACAATGGATGTAATACATGCGAGTGTGAATTGCCATGTGAAGGTTTCATTTGTCCAGTCGGGTCTAGATGTGTTGTTGCAAAAGATCCAAAATGCACCTCCGGTTCAGGATTATGCCTATCGGAACCAATTTGTCAACCGGATCTCATTTATTCAAATCCGTGTGGTAAATTTTCTTTATTCAATATTAATGATGTATTAATAAATTTTTTCGATTGAGAAAGCTTAAAATTTATATTTTTTTTTGTATGTTGCAGAACAGGGAGTTCCATTGACTCATAATTTTACTGAAGAAATTGCTTATTGCCATGAAGGTACGGTTTCATTATCGCTTAATTTACAACACAAACATTTTAAATTACTTCTCATTTAGAATTGAATCCATCGGAATATCAAGTACAGACATTTTTGGATGCAAGTGATGAAAATGTCGTTGGACGTTCATTGATGTCGAAAGTAACATGTCCAGATGGCTTTAAATGCACTAGATTAAAGGGTCAAAGTGAAAGTGTCTGTTGCCAAAATGACCTGATTCCTGCGTCAGCTGTTAATCATGAAGTGGAAGAAACAACTGTGGTGCGGCAAGCATCAAGTGAGTTTTATTTTTGAATCAATTTAAAATTGGAACTTTCGACTTACTTTTGAATATTTTCTTCTTCTTTTATTTACTTCCTTTAGTGTGTGAATATTTGAGAGATTTTAGTGATCGCATGGAGGGAACAGAGGAGGGAATGGCATTAGCAATTATCCCGCCAAAATGTAATACAGACGGATCATATGTGGCAATGCAATGTCAATTAAAACGAATGACTGTTACTAAGGCGGAGCAGAAAAAAGTTTTGGAACAAAACAATATCCGTGAAATGAGAAAATTATTAAATAATCGACGTAGACGAGACATTGAAACATTGAAGCTTGTTCGCGTTGATAATGTTCAGCAAAATAGAAGATCAGACGATGGTCTTGACACACAAGTTGTTCTTGACTTCCTTAAAAAGAAAATTTTTGAGTCACCAGACAAATTTATCAGTGAGCTATTTGGAGACAATACACAAGGCAGAACAGCAAGAGTTATTGACATCCAAGCTGAAGATTATGAAGATGAAGAAGAATCTGAGGATCTTGAAGTCAGAGATGATCGTAAATTAGCTTTAAAATCACAGAACAGATTCAATGATCTAGTCGAAGTGGAAGTCGAACAATGCTACTGTGTTGATCGTTTTGGAACGGAAATTCCTCAAACAAGAGGTTCAATAAATGTTACAGAAGAAACTTGTCTTAAAGTTCGTGACGAGATTGACTGCTTGGATTTGACATGCAGAATGGGATGTGATTATGGATTCGTAATAGATCCAAATAGTAAATGTCCAACATGTCAATGTCGTGATCCATGTGATAATGTTCAATGTGAAAATAATCAAGAATGTCGAACTGTCGAAGTATCGTGCGAAGATGCATACTGTCCACCAGTTCCAAGCTGTTTCCCTAAGAAACAAGGTCAATGTCCATTTCTAGTTCCACCAGCAGGAGAAGATTCAGATGATGCTTGTGCTTATGAATGTCGATCAGATAATCACTGTAGTTCATCGAAAAAGTGCTGTTCTAATGGCTGTGGAACTGTTTGCGTTGAACCAATGCTCAAGTCAGCTTGCCAACACCTTCAATCAATTCAAATTCATCAAGCAATTGAATTAGGCATTCCAGCAAAACAAAAATATATTGCACAATGTAATGATGATGGGACATGGAAAACAATTCAATGTGGACCGAACAATGTGTGCTGGTGTGTAGATGAACGAGGAAATGAAAAGAGCGGAACGCGTACATCCGATGAAATTCCAAATTGTTCCGTCAGTAAAACATCAAATTGTCCAAAAGTGCGATGCAAATATTGCGAACATGGATATGTGTTTGATGTAAATGGCTGTAAAACATGCGAATGTAAAGATTTATGTAAAGAAATCAAATGTCCATTAGACGAACAATGTGAACTCGTTCAGGTTGAATGTATCAATAGCTTTAATAGTACACAACCATGCCCAAGGCTTCCTATATGCACACCGATACGCGATTCTGTATGCACTGAAGGACTTCCATTAAAACAGAATGGACGAGATATCAATTGTGGACCCGATGCAACGGACTGTCCAACAACACATACATGTAATTTAAATCCAATTACAAAGCATGGAGTATGTTGTGCAAAGAGTCGAGACGTATGTTTTGAATCAATCGATTCATCATGCATATTAAACGACAATGATGTTAGTGAAAGCATTGTTAAGTATCGATTTAATCCGCGTTACAATAAATGCACGGCAATACGATTATCGAAGAAAAATAAAAATTCATCATGTGCAAGTAAAAATCTCTTCCACAATGAGCAGGCATGTAAATCTGTCTGTCCTGTTTTGACACAATGCGAGAGATTAAAATTAAAAAATTCTATTGTTGCAAGGCGACGTGCTGATAAATCTGATATATGGTTCCGTCCTCGTTGTGATCCAGAGACGGGAAATTGGAGCTCTGTACAATGCATAGCTGAAAATACGACAGAGAATACTCGTGTATGTTGGTGTGCTGATAAGAAAGGTTCACCGATAAAAGGCTCATTAACAAAAGGCACTGAGCCAGTTTGTAATTACAGACAGGCAAGACGACGCGTACAAGAACACACAGATCCGGTAATGGAGGAACTCATACGTCAAATTACATATTTGACTGACGAAAGTAACTTTCTCGATGATGACGAAAATTCCTCATTAGAAGGTAGATCGTTACCGAGTGACGATAAAATTGCAATTGCAACAGAGCGTGCTCTAGAAATATCAGAAAAGCTTAGTGAAAGTACGAAAAAGCTTATTGCATCGACAACACGTTGTGATGCCTTAAGATCGACAGCTCGATTTACCGTAACGTGCGATGAGCAAGGAAATTTCCAACCAATGCAATGCAATCATGAAACGTGCTGGTGTGTTGATGAAGCAGGAAATCAATTGCCATTCAGTAATACATTCAGAAAGGGAAGCAAGAAGTGCATGCATACGCCATTAGACGCAATCGAAATCGAATTGAATTTAATAAATCCAAATAATGTTAAATTAACAAATTTATATGACGTAATGTATGAGGATGTAAGAGAACTTATTGGTGATGAAAATTTTGTAAATTTCCGTGTTCATGAAAATGCAGATGGAACTGTGACATTAAAGTTTGACTTGATTGATGATGAAAAAGTTAATCAAGCATTCGCAATTGAGGAGATGAGTAAGGAAGATAATTTATTCTTATTCCATGGAATGCTGAAAGTAGACATGAGGCAGTCAAAATTCTCTCATAGAATTCCAATGGAAGTGCTTACGAATGCACAGCGATCATCACTTGGTATACCTCAAAACACATTTCACACAATTGTATTCATAATAGCAACGTCCTCAGCTTTTATTGTAAGCATATTAGTCATTTATGTTATGTTAAAAAAAGGAAGAACAAAAGACGATAAAACACATTATGTTAATAATAAAAATCTTCATTCAGGCGATAAATTCATTGATTATACATCGCCCATATTTGTTTTGAGTGCCAATGATTTACCAAGAAGTCATCATCATCCTCATCATCATCACAATAGTCGAAGTAATGATGAAAGTTGAAATTGTAATTTTTCAATACAATTTCTCTTTCTATGTGCTGCAAAGTAGATGTTTTAGACAGTAGATTGAGAAAGAAACGGGGTCGTTCATAAATTACGTCTATCAACATTTTGGATTTTAAGGTATTCCTTTCTTACTGGTCTCCAAATTTTCATACATCTAAATTCTATAGTGTCACTAGTGTTGCACTTCATTAGCTGATAGACGTTACAAGTGAACGACCCGACAAAAAATAATAATAAATCGAATAAATTGACATGAACACATCAGACATGGAAAAATAGTTGTGTCTAATGTGTTCATGCTGATAGAAATTGAGACACATATGAATGCTCATAATTTGAGTTTAATTGTACAGTGTTTGCGTGCTATGAAATTAGTTTACATACCTAACTTTAATTAATCAACACTTTTTCGCTTGCTTTCCTATTTCTACACTACAAAAAAATTTCTATCATGATACTTACTAGTTCTTCTTCACCTTTTTTTATTATTTATTTATTAAACATACTTATTTCATTTCATGAAAGCTTAAATTAGAGATGTTGTGAAATTCAATTTTTATAGTCTTTTATAAAATTGTTTTTAAATTAAATTAATGAACAAATAAAACTTTTAAATTGTTGTAAAAAAATAAATTTTTGTTGGTTTTTATTTCACTGGCTTAATTTTTTGCAGACTCGATTAGTGTAGACTGAATGGATTCGAAATTGTTTTCTGAATGATTGATCAATTCGGAAACAATTCTTCCTTTGGGATGCAGAACATTAAGGAAATTGGTATTTTTCAACAAAATAACCGAGTATCGTTGATGGAATTTAAGTTTTCTCGAGGGTAGATTTTGTATTCATCATAAATCCGGCATCAATGTGAATGAATGGAGAAGTAAGATCATGATTTTTTACAGGAATTGCTTTACTTTTTTTTATTTTACGAGGGAAATCGAGGTTTGATTATTACTTTTCAGTGGAATATGCAGAGTGTTGAAGATATTTTATGTTTGTTGCTATCATTGAAGGTTGTAACCAGGAATATCTAGGATTAAAACACACGAAGACGAATATTCAAATGAAATCTACAATCATTCAATCTCTGAAACATGATTCTTTATCAAAGATTTAACAATACTTGACAGTCCAATGAACTACTCTAGCACCACGATCAGTACTCGATGATCATACAATTTAAACATTTATAAGGTTCTCCAACACATTTCTACGATACACAACATCAAAAAAGCTCAACTTAAGCTTTTCTATGTCAAACATTTTTTACCATTTCATTCACAAAATAATAAACTTTTATAAAATTTCTCCTGCTGATCAAAAAAATAAAAACTTTAATTGAATAAGATGCATCTTTGAGCTTTTTCTCACGGCATTGTACCAATAATGACGTCATGTACATCATTAAAAATTAAGCAAATAAAAAAAAAGAGAAACATAATGATAAATGATGAACGAATTTTCACAGATTTTAATCGAGGATAAATAAATTTATGAAACTGTGACAAGATGAAATAATTAGCGGAATAAAATATTTTGCGACCGATGAATATGAGACTATATACAGCATCATGTTGTAAGATGATTATCCAAAAAAAAATACTTCTGATAAATGAAACTCGATGTCAGGGTAATCATTAACCACTGTAAACGCAACAATGTGTAAATATAGCATAGAATGTATCATATAGCACATAAATGGAATATGTGCGGTTTTTGTAGAGGATCATTATATTGAATTTCGCATACCTTAAGGCTGATTAGAATTTAATGTTAACCGCTGTATTAAATTTTGTTCTCTTACTGTAAAAAGATGACGAGTTTTGGGTTTAGTTTCAAAGATCAAAATTAATTAAATCAGTACCGTAATTAGAATTGATGGCTTTAAAGTTGTAGAGGCTGATGATTCGATTTGGATAGTCTTAATCAGATAGCTCAGTATTAAGACATTTATATTGGTCCACAAAACATCTAGGATCAGTTATTATATTGGCGAACCCTCGTACTTAAAGCCAGTACCTGATAATAACCTCATTGAGGTCCTATGCTTGTCAACATCAAGTTTTACTTAGATTCTATAAATCCTAGATAAATAACTTAATAAAATGATTGAATGACTTCTCATCACAGCACAAAATGAGAGATTATGAATCGGAAAATGTTGTTCAATTTCAAGCTTGTCTCAATTAATTTGTAACTAATATTGAATGATTCATATCATAGTAGGAGCCAAACAAATATCAGCAACATGATACTGGCTACTTGAATATTATGATACATAAGTACGCTATAGACATAAGTAAAGAAAAAAACAGTAATAATGTGCAGCTGAAGTAGCAAGAAGAAAAAAAAAACATTTTTTCAAGTGAATGTATTTGTAAAAAGAGAGCTTAATAATAGCTAACTAGCATAGGTAAATACAAACACTATAAGCTATAGCATAACTCGAAAGAAATACATTTCGGCGCACACTAAGAAGAAGAAAAAAAAGTTATAAAGCCAAGCGCGGAGCTGTCATTGCAAGTTATTTTGCAAAGTCAATTTTAAATGTTAACAACACTTCTGTGCGCTATATAAAGTACATCACGGGCTTAATTTTTTACGAGAATTTGACGTGAAATAAATTAATTTAATTTGTGAAAGATACAAAATAATTTTTTTAAAGACGATAAAAGAGGAAATTTTATAAACTTTATTAACCAGTGAAAAAAGGATACAAAATGTGGTTCAAGACAACGGTAAGGATTTTGTCACATAAAAATGAAAGTTTTCTGAAATAATTGAAACTTAAAAATGTCGATTTTCTACTGCAATTATCATCCATAGTTCTCTGCCTTTCTTATTGCATTACTTACTACAAAATGCCAGAGGAAAAATAATTTGAAATTATAATGCATTGTGGATTTTATGCATTTATAAATGAAGTGTGTGGAAAAATTATAAATTCTACAATCTTTTGTTTTGAGACATTATTCTGCATTCATAAAAAGCTGATGAAACCTTGAAAAAATTTATGAATTAATTTCTAGTTCAGAAATTGTGTGAATATAAATTTTGAGGATTTCGTTGCTTCTTAGTGGTTAAAGTTATAATAGGCAGTGTTTTAAGTGCTTTTTCTAAAGTTTACATCATAATACTTTTTAGAGGTTTAAATCAAAGAACCTAAATTGTTTTAATGTGATTGAAACTTCCAAGAGTTAATTTTGTCGATATAATTCAAAGAAAAACTATTGTAAATTTGGAATATCGAAGCATTAAATCCTTCTTGCCTTCCCAATACATTTTAATTTTGAAACCTCCTCAAATTCCAATAAAACAATTACAAAGTAAATCGAAAAATTCAAATTAAACTTCAGTTGATGATAATTGCATAATCTTGGTAATGAAATATTTTTAATTCCATACTGAAAGATAAGATTGAATATTATGCATGCATATCTAGCATATTCATTGAATACAATAATGAACTTCAAGCATAAATTAATTCTTCTGAGTGCTTCCAATTCACAAAGATTAACTCAACAATAGTAATTAAATGAACAACCATATTGCATAAGTTCTGAAGCTTTTTTTCAAGCAATTTGGTCACGAAAAACTAAGTTTTCTTTCACGGTCAATTTGCATTTTTAAAAAAAGCTGAAACTTCCTCTCTTTTTGAACATATTAAATTCATTTTACTACTTTCATTATCCGATATATTAATTTTGAATTGCGATGTGAAATGTAAAGAAATTGAAAAACACAAAACAATTATCGGTATAAAATATTGAAAGCACATAGAGTCGACGCTTTTGACGGCACACACAGCACATCGCGAAATTGTGGAAAAACGAGAAAATAATTGCAATTCATTTGTAGAAGAGATGTGAAATGAAAACGAGAGCTATTATTTAATAACACAAAGATTTTATTTTCATTTAAAGTGAGGGACTGAAATGTATAGTTTGGGTAGACACAGGCTGACAGTGTATTAATTTGTGTCAAAGAGTTGATGGGAACTTAGCTTCATTGAGAGAAAATTATTCTTTGAATAGAATTTGGGAGTTTGCGAAGAAGTTTAATACAAATTGGAGATTTTTGAAAGGAATTACATTAAAATTCTTGTGTCGTAGACGTAAATAGACTCAAATGTCGAAAGAAATTAGTGAAACTTATAAAATGTGAATTTTGTAAAACTAGTTTTAAGAAATTTTACTAAAATAGTAATTAACGATTAATTTTGTTAAAGTTCAAGAGTTCAAGAGTTCAAATCTCATGAAATTGAAATATATTATTGATAAGGTCGTATTATTTTTTTGTTAAAACTTTTTATAAATTAATAAAGTTTCAAAATGTACAAATCTCTTAAAAATGCCACAGCTTCCTTTAAATATCTTCTGCTAACTGCCATCTCACATTACAATCCTTTTGTGCTTCTTAAACACAAAATAATGAATGTCCATTATTTTGCATCACATAATCGTCCATTATAAGATAATACGACCATAGACTCGCAAATCACTTTCGCTCTCATATTCAAAAGAAATGTGTAGCATTAGATGAAATAAGAAGCAAAGTTCAATTGAATTAAATCTCAAATAATTATTCAATAAGCGTCGATGAACAGTTGCACTTGATGTCTATCTGCTTTATTGGAACGAGTGAAACTTTACACAAAAAAAAAAATGTTTATCAAAAGTAATTTGTCATTCAATTGCACTGCCTTCCTATTATTTTCGCATTCAAAATTGCCAACATGAGGGGGGCAAAAAGAGACTCAGAGAAAGAAAGTTTAGTGCCTTTTTCTCACATTGTTGTTAAAATTTCTTCATTATGTAGAAAATTGGATTGAATTTTTGAAGCAGAAGCGAATAATAAAGTCATTAAAGCTGATACATATTACTTTCGCTTTCAACCGCTGCCTGCTAGCTTACTGCTGTGACCTTCGCAAGGTTTTTTCTTCTTATTTTCCTTTCCTCATCGCAGACTTGCTGCTTTTTGATCTCGTTAGGCTGAAAATCTATTCGTTATGGGATTTTTCGTTAGTTTCGTCTAATATTTAAAAATTAAGGAGGAGTTCCTTATAGTTTGAGACAATATGATGTAAAGTCTTGCTAATCCCATCATTCTAAAGACGTAACCTACAAACGACCCCCAATAAAAACCGAGTGTGTGCTCCAAAATGAGTCTTTGAACTAAAATTATGCAAAAACGAGAAGGCAATGCCTTAAATGCTATTTTTTTCCTGAAGAATTGCATTGCTCAATGATGAGAAATGTATCGCTGAAGATGAGCATTTTGTTGAGACTTAAAAGCATTTTTTTAATGTTTTTTCTTCTTTTTTTTATTGAAAATAATGCCAAATGTGTTGTTGCTGTTGCTGCTG